CCCTTCGTGTGCCGTACCGGCCTTCATAGGTGCTCGCTGACAGCACTTACCCCAACAGTCTGTTAGAGGCTACACGAGTGGGGGGGGGGGCGTCTTTGTCTTTGTTACTGTTTCTAGGCACGGTCTATGTGTGCATGAGCCGCTTGCTCGTTTCAACAGCGTCGATACCCATTAACATAGCACGTCTTGAAGGTTATCAAGTAATTGAATGCCCTCCTGCGGCATGTCAACTGGCACTCACTCTCTCTCGCCGTTAAGCCTGGCCTCAACTCGCGTTATGTAGGCCAATACGCGACCGACTCGACGCGGGACAGCTGCTACAACTTCGCTGCAGTGGCTAGGAGATGTTAACTACCTCGCCCGGTATACAGGAGGGCGTGGGTTCGATCCCGACCCTGACGGCTCTATGTTTGGAGTTTTCATGTCTCTCTCTTCAAATGGTCGCGTGGATTTTTCTCCGGGTCCTCGGGTTTTTCCTTCGACATTTGCTATAAATTTCAACCTGGTAATCCACTTTCTTGGGCTAGCATTTGTGGCCAGGTCGCTTCTGGAAAAGAGCTACATAGCTCAGTGGGCCTTGCCTGGTAAAATAAAATTTGTTTAGTATTAATAGTTTTAGTTTAACGCTGCTGCACGTTGCGTCAGAATCAGAATCTTTATTTAGACTGGAGAAATGCGATGAGCTATGAAGCTCTTTTTTCACAGATGTCTACTAGTCCATGGCAGTGGTGACCAATGCAACTGAGCACTGCGATCCATTCTGGCGGATACCAAGGGGGCCCTCCCTCCGCGTTCCACCAGGAAACTTTGTCCAACAATCAATCACCCGGACCAATGTAACCCCGTAGTACCAAATAAGACGTATACCAAATACGAGCGCCGTCTATTGGTGGCAGGTATATATTTATTTTACGCACGTATCTTCATCGGGGATTTCTATTTGCCGCCGGGCCGTATCGGGAATTGTCCCACGCTTGTGGTAGCGTTTGCTCTGATTTGTCCTCATATAGAGCGCGCCAGATAGTGTGCGATCCGCGCATGGACCGTATCGGCCACCACCTTTGTGTGCGATTGTTTAACCATACTTCACCACTCTGGACAGTGCAGGCTGGGGGCAGGGGTGGGTTGTGGGGCAAGACCGGTTCAGGTATCTCTCGCCACCGACGTTCGCCGGGCCCGTATCGAGGTGTGCTGCTAACTAATGCGCCACCCCTCGTATATATTAAAATGTGTAAACAACGCTGGTGATGCGTCAGTTGATTGGTAAACGTGACAAGTGGCAATGCATTGATTGGAGAAACAAACTCTCCAACAGCCCGCTCGGTCCCCTCCGCACGCTGTTTAGCAATAAGCACATGCACACACCCATTGTCAATCCAATGCTGGATGAAGGCCTCCCCACGGGACGCCGCGCGGGGTTATTTTACTGCACACTTTGCCACGCCAGGCTGGTAACATAGACGTGGGGTGCTGGTGCAGTACAACAACGGTTTGTTCTGCTGCTAACTTGACCATCCATATTTTCTATGCAATGTGTTATACATTCTCTTGTATTATACCGAATGGGTTACGGATAATGCGATGCTGTCTGTATTGCATCACGCGTCACTGTCGGGCGTCTCGAGTCAATTTCCTCCGCTGCTCGCTCGCTGTCTCATCTTCCCCATTGTCTCGCACAATGGACACACTGGCTGCCTATGGCAATGACTAACGCTATTACAATGACTGCAGCTAAATAGCTGACTCATTAGACGTAACAAGCTGCATAGCAGGGCGACAATCTGGCTCGCTGATACATTGGACAACAGACCGGATGGCTGAAACGTTGGAGAACAGAATGGATGACTGGTGCATTGGATAACAGACTGGACGCCTGATGTATTGGGCAACAGACTGGATGGCTGACACATTGGACAACAGACCGGATGGCTGATACGTTGGATAACAGACTGGATGGCTGATACGTTGGAGAACAGAATGGATGGCTGATGTATTTGACAACAGAAAGACTGGTTGATGCATTGAACCACAGGCGGGATGGCTGATACACGTGGACTCTGATGTATCGTATGGTGGATGTCATATAGATTTGGAGTGGTGAGAGTAGGGAGGGGGTACAGACTGGGGGTGGAGGTGGGTCCGGGGTTGAACAGACACAAAATGTTAGCAAAACGTCAAGCGGCCAGCAACAATCCGCCGCTGTTCAAGTTAACGAGTTGATCCGTTTATTGAATTGACGAAGGTTCTGAGCAGTTGGGAATCGAGGTGATAGTCCCGAATTCCAAATTGGAGAAATGGGAGGAAAGAAGCGGACAGAGTTGTGTTGTTCAGAATCAAAATCTGTACGCATACCGGAGGAATCCGATGAGCTATAAAGCCCTCTTTCACAGATGTCCAATAGGTTACGGCGAGTCAGGGCGGCTGCCCCGGGCCCCGCGTTTGGGGGGGGGGGGAGGGCACGCTTTGACGTCACGGTGCCAGATGCAATGAGATTTACCCCGGCCCACCCCCCCCCCCCCCCTATTGACGGTCTCAGTTGTGGCCTGCAGTGTGGTGGTTGAACACAAGAGACGAAATCGGTCATTCTTGCCGATCGAATCCTCTCGGCAATGTTGAAGTGAAGTTCACGGGAACGGTAACGATTGTAACAGCGACAGGCCAGTGACGAGGGGACGACTGAACACCGAGTGACCTGGAGTGGATGAGTGAGTGGGGGTCATTAATTGACCTCAATGCTCTCCGTAGGTTTAGTTCCCCATCGCAGACCAACCACTTCCTATTCTTGCGGCTTTGACTGCTACTCGCTTGGCTGTGGTGAACGGATGAACCAGACATCATCAGGCAGATACAGACGCGTCCGACAGTTTGCACGTTTATTCAGTAAACATGGGTACAATACAATTGCCGTGTCGTGGAACAGTGTTTGATAGGCTTTTTTACACTTTGACATGAACTTAAAGTGACGCCTAACTTCGGGCTGTGTCCTGGGGCTGTCCAACAAGAGTTTGAAGCTTCAACGATTGTATATATATTCGCACACATACACATATATATAAACTTTCGAGTTGTATCCATAAACTCCATTATAGCACTCCCAATAGCATCACTGCGAAGCCGCTCACATTTTTAATGATACATCGGAGCAGTGACGTCTCCACGGCGCTATAGAGGCAACTCCTGAAAGTCACTTATCCAAGTAAATCTTTTCCCTCTCTCTCAATAACCAAGAACTGCAGCTGTGGGTGCAGATGAGACGGTGATGCACGCTGCCGGCAGATCCGTGTCCGGCGGCCTGAGGATGACCCTGCTGCTGCTGCCGCTGCACTCAGCTGCAAATTACGAAGCCGCTGCCTTGGCTCAACGCTCGAAGCGACGCAGCTAAATGAAATATATAAAATATTCACCACGGTGGGTTCAAACTCGTGCCAGACAACCACTAGACACTCACACTTGGAACCACAACAATATTTTTTTTGATTGGTGTACAACGTTCCTTATATGCGGGGTACTGCAGATCACATATGTGTCGTACACCATCCTCCACCCTGCACGGCTAATATATGAAGTTGTCACTTGATGAACAACAAAGCGGCAATGTATTGCTGCTTCGGGCAGCAGCAGTAGTAGCAGCACCGCCGGTGTGTTGGAGAGCAACCCACAATAAATTGTCGATCGCAATCTTCATTAATTGCCCGTGTTGGGTGGAGGCGGGTGCACGACAACACGTTTTACTTTACGCAATCTGTCTGACCCAAAAATAAATTATGAATCATAATATCGGTGGCGACAGGCTACGTGATAACGTATATATTCTAGTTTATTTTTACACACCCATGCAGTATACAGTAGGCCATACTATCAAACAGCGCCGCGATAAATCCAAAGTCGTCGGTCTTTGATGCTGCTCAGTTGCGAAGTACGCACGGCTCTCTATTCATAGCAGGTCAGGATGGGGTGAGTTTCACGCATTCAATAGCAATGCCATTTATTAATCCAGTAAAGCCTCGCCGAGCCTCGCGAGGACACTTCGTGAAGGGCCCTACATTGGGGTACTTGGCCAATTTAAATAATTTCAAGGGATTGTTTTGCTCGGCGTGCTGGAAGACACTGGAGGACCCAGAGAAATCCCGTCCCGCATGAGAGATGACACTTCCAATTACCACGATATCGCGTACTGCCAATTCATAATTATATTTATTTATACTGGAGGAATCCGATGAGCTATGAAGCTTCCCCCCCTCCCCCAGATGTCCAGTAATTATCTGCCACTTCGCAGCCCAGCGCGTTTGCCGGTTAAGTTTCACAAACCGCTATGTGATTCACCAACCCTTGCCTCTGAATAACTGGATCTCAGGCGTGCACTACCACCAGGGCCCGGAGCAAAACTCTACACCACGTGGGCCCCCGACGCCTTCAAGCTAAATTGGAAGTATTACATCTGACATCGTGACGTCGAAGCGTGGGGGTCCCCCAAAGCGCAGGGCCCGCGGCAGTTGCCCCGATTCGCCGTGTACCCTTGGGGCGGCTCTGGCTTCCACACAATTTGTAAAGTCTTGCATCATACCAGAATCGCTCGCGCGTTTTGACAATTGCAATGATCACGCAAATCAGCAGAATTCTACTGCCAAATTCATAATCAGAATATATATTTATACTGGAGGAATCCGATGAGCTATGAAGCTATTTTTTTTATTTCACAGATGTCCAAATGCCACGAGGTGGCCAGGAGATGGCGTCATCCCCTCGTGGGGTCTCTCCGGGTGCTCTGGGTTTCCTGCCAACGTGCAAAAGACAACGATCGATTAATGCAGCAGTTTGGCGACAGAGAAGTAAATCTGTCAAGGCAACAATCATAACTCTCCCAAAATATATAAATATAAATCAGAATATGTATTGCTACTGGAGGAATCCGATGAGCTATAAAGCTCTTTTTACAAATGTCATGTAGGGGCACGGGGTCAGAACGTCACTACAAATAATATTTTAAAAACACGACAGGAGTGCTTATTATAGGCAATGTAAACAATTCACTCCAAAAATAAAAACAAATAAACTTTAAAAAAATCTTACTTAGGTAAGGCCCTCCAAGCCATTCGCTTCTTTTTCAGTTAGCAACCTGGCCACAAATGTCGACACTCTGCGAGGCTTTTGCCGGATAAGACGAATACGTGAATTGTTTATGATTGTTTACGATCAATGTAAATCGTGTAACAGCTTGCATCTCGTAAAATTCTCCCCCCCCCCCCCCCATATACACACACGCGCTCGATGCGCGCCACTGGGCCGCGCTGAGTTATGGGGCACGCGGTAAATCCACGCGCCGTTGTTGGACTCTCCGTCCGTAGCCCAAGGGTGGTATTCCTTCACTTTTGTTGTTGTTGTTGGCGGGGGTTTCTCACCATTATTGTTAACGACACGTATTAATCACACGACACGTTTACCGTCTCTCTCTCTGCACTACGCGTGCGCGTCCACTGAAACGGAGCGTACCAACCGGGTGTGGCAACACGCGCGGTCGCTGGTCACGATGCGATGGTGGTTTTTTTTACGCTCTGGGGAAGGAGTGGAAAGTCTTTGGCTTCTACAGCAGGGGTGTTCGACGGGAGGGGGAGGGTGGGCAAGGCGTGTGTGCGTGTGTGGGTGGATGGGTGAGTGAGTGACGTTGATCTGAACCGGTCCCGGGCCTCCCCTAGGTCGACTCAGCCTAAAATGAGTAGCCAGTGTGATTTGTAAACATCGCCACGTGGGATACAAAGGCGGCCGGGCGTGGTGTTGGCCAACCACTGCCTCGTGCCCTGTGCGGGCCTCGTTAAACAGACAGCATTTGCCCCATCAGCCTGTTAAGGCTGAGTCGACCTAGGGGAGGCCTGAGACCAGTGGGCTAGCTGCCGCTGGTGAGAGTTGATGGCCAAGGAAAGAAGCGGGGGAGGGTGGTGGTGGTGTTGGTGTTGGCAGCTCAATGCATTTGTTGACTGAGTAAGAGAAGTCTCTCCCACTCTCTCCTCTCTCCCCTGCTTCTCCCCCCGCCACCGCCGTCGCTCCCCTCCCCCGCGTCAACACGCGTAGCTCTCTCGGCTCAGCGATTCCCAGCGCGGAGCTCCGCTCACGGGTCACCTGCAAAACAAAGGGGTCCGCTCTCGCTTAAGGGAAACGCGAAAACACACAAAGACACACAAAGACCCCCCCCCTCCACCCTCCACACAAAGACACGCGCACACACACACACGTGCACGAAGACATATAGATGCCCGTAGGTGCAACTGTGTATGCGAATTTTGACTTGAAACTTTCGTGACTGCAGGAATTCATATTCTTTGGTTCTTTCGGTAAAGTCACGTAGATAGAAAAAAGATTTGTAACAAAAATGTTTATTATTTAACTGGAAATATATTTATTTATTTCTTATATCTGCGTGACTTTACCGAAAGAACCAAAGAATGTGTGTAGACGAAGACAGAATCGGAGGAAGCTACAACTTCTACAGAGTGAATTCAAATCAATTGCGCACGTGCCCGCAAATTAATGGACGAGACGACGGAGCGAATGCCCCCTCCCCACCACCACTCACTTCGCTTTGTCCAAATACACAGTGTTTTGCAACTCTGTGAGTGTCCGCTCTGTACGGTACATGCCATGTGTATATACAGGGTGCTTATATTTTTTTACATTTTTACGGGACTATCTTTTTTTTAATAGAAAAAGAAGGGATAATACACTGCAACATGCTAACAAATGTAAATGTTAATAGCTTCAAAAAGTCAAAGAGTCTCCCACTTGTTCGCCATCGTTGTCAACACGTGGCCTGGAATCTTCCTCCAGGTGGGCTCCAGAGCCTGGAGGCAGCGGTACATTTCTTGTGGCATTGTTGTAAAGTCTAGGAAGTGTTAACATTGTTTTGAAGCACGCTGTGTGTGTGTGTGTATATACCGAATGCCGCATTTTGTTCGGCCGGATTGAGGGGGCAAAGCGGGCACGGCACGGGCTAGAGAAGAGATGGAGTGATGTGGTACAGGAGGACGTGGAGCTGAGTGGACTTTCCGATGACTGGTACCAGCGGTGTCAAGATCGACCTCTGTGGAGGAGGCTCGTGAAGGACGCTACTGGGCAGTTGGAGGTAGTCGCCCTCCAACAACAACGGAGGGCGGAGGAGCGACGCTCACAACAACGAGCGGAGCGCCGGGTGGCTAAAGCACAGCAGGTTGGCACAGTAGGGCGCACAGGTGGTGCATCAGCCAGTCATCTCAGTCAGTCGACCCGTGGCAGCTGGGTCTGCCCCGTGACCTCCTGCCAGCGGGCGTTCGACATTTCACGTGGCCTCAGGGTGCACATGGCCTGGCACAAGCGTCGTGGTGACGTCACCGCCACTTAGTGGCGAATGGCGGTTGTTGTTATATATACCGCTTTGCGACTCGCAGATGGCATTGAGGCGGTGTTCGCCAAACTGTCCTTTTCCTGGATCGATTTTTCTAAAGTCAGGTTGCTCCTTATCCAACAACAAAACTTTAATTTTAGGAAGTTGATGTTATTGCTGATATTTGATGTCGCTTATCGAGTTATACGCGGTCACACGGTCAAACAACGTTCAATAGATGTGCAGTATATGTACTGTAACAGGTTAGTCAATCGGCCCATCCGCCTTCTGGAGCAAAAATATCCCAGCATCATTTGTTTAAGCAGGAAAGCCCTGGGCCGGCTTTGACGATTTGAGTCTCATCAGCAGAGCCTGGCCATTTTAGAAACAGTAGCTTGGTTCCACCCACCAATCAGTGTAACAGTGAATTTGCATGACAGAAAATATGCAGAAAAGCCCATTCTGCACCGTCGTGAAAGCGATGATCATCTGTTGAGACTGTGAAAGTCGAAACCAGCCCCGGGGGTTGCCTGCCTATAAGCAGTCTGCTGGAAAACATCGTTCGCGAAGGCGGCATACATCGGCTGTGGACTAAATCATATTTCCCGTCGAGATCCAGACTCTTTAAAAAAAAGTATTCGTGCCCGATAATCGTATGGACTTGATGGGCGGTGGGGTCGGCGGGTTTGTGCGACCAGTAACCACGTCAGTCAGTGCAATGTGTATATTCTCACGATCAATTGTTTTCGATGGACGTGTAAGCTACGTGGAATCTCTAAGCCGAACGGGTGTCACGTATAAACCCCGACGCGGGCGATGGTAAACCGGGTGACCGATTGAAGTTACAGCTGTTGTTCTACTCGACGGGACGACTCATTAAGACGACCTATTAACAGTTAAAGTCTACGATCGTAGCAAACAGAGAAATGGGAAAATCGACTTCGTCCGTCATTTTTACCGCCAACAAATAGAGACGAACAACGCAGGGACCCCTCTTGAATCGGAAGCGCGCGGAGTGTGACGCTGATGCCATTAGAAAGCCGGCGTCCCCAGCTCTCGGTCCCGGTTAGACAATTCTATTGAGTGTACTTTCACATGCAAATCTCGCGTTATATCTTCGCACAGTTTTATTTTTTGTGCTCGATTCGTGCACCCGTTTTCGTTTACGATCGTGGGGGGGGAAAAAAAAGTTAATTAAGTGCGGTGTTCCTTAAGTGCCCATTCTAACGTCTCGTTATACACACTCGTTCTCCGCATGCATTGATGGGTTTTTTGTCGTTTTGTTCTCCGCTGCTACCGCTGCGTTCAGCGCCAACCACTTCGCGGACGGATCTGCCGTGTAAAAAAAAATAGCAGGGAAAACGTGCGAAACGAGGCCATCGGCGAATACAAATCACGAGACGAGACAAATCAAATGAACGCAAGCTCAATTTGTTGTGCCGTATATAGCGGTGGCGTACGTTGCGTGAACGCGTATCGATGCGCGTTCGGCGTGGGCTGTATCGGACACGTGCCAATGCATCTGCGAGTGTCTTGTTTTAGCGTCACAACGCTGTGCGCCTCTAAGGGTCGGGCTGCGAACGTCCCCCGCTGCCACGTATTTCACTCGACTCGAAGAAATGCGTGAATCGAGTATTACGCTCACTCATTGGCGGCCGCGTCGCCCGAGAAGAGGCCATATAGGACAGGTTTGGGATACAGCTGTCCGATGCGTTTTCGGGTTGCACCACGCGTTGTTGTTGTTCTGCACGAAACTCTTTCGGTAGCTGAACACACGCAGCGCTTGGCGGCGAAACGTCGGACATCACGCCGAACATCACGCGGAAGTAACCTGAACAAGCGCGAATATCTCCGCTGTGCTCGAGATATCTTTAGCCAGTGAATGATAATTATCCATGGCCGGGAGTCGAACTTAAGCGAGCGGGGGTCGGAGCACGTTCCAGGAATGACTTGCGCCAACACGTTTCGCCGCACGCACTATTGAGGGATGGGGCTGTTTGCGAGCACCTATTTAGGCCGGTACGGCACCACATGGACAGGTGGTGTGGACAGCACCCCGCGGCCGGCCGTCTTTGTCCCCCCCCCCAGTGTCCTTTACTCCCCATGCACCAGGTACTACACTCATGTAAGGTCAAGTCAGAGGACCCATGCAGGACCGGTTTAGATATCAATCGCCATCAATGTTCGCCGTGGGTCGGATTCGAACTCGGGTCGCCGGAACTGAACCACTGCGCTAACAGTCGAGTCGAGTGATGTCTGAAACAATCGTGACCCCCCCCTCACCCCAATTAGTGCTCCAATCCGCATTGGCCAGGGTGGTGAAGTATGGCCAAACAACCCCCCGTGACTGACACGGCGTGGTGAGGCTTTTATCCAGCGATGCGTTGACGTCTTCTAAATGATTTGGGATTAAAGTGTTCACTAATGTATTAATCGATTGTATTTATATTAACTTGGCAAGTCGGTTGAAATACAGAAGTTTATTCTTGCAAGTGATTTATGCTGCAGGCTGCGCAACGTTAGGGTGACGTTAGTCTGGTGTTTAACCCCAGAGTGTCATGGAACAACTAACTTGTATTACCATCATATCCATATCTGTCGGGTTAATATTCGGAATAATATGCACATTAAAAGCAAGAATATAGCGCTATGTCGGCTTGGGGCTATAGAACCCATAACTATAAACAATTAGGGATGCAAAGTTAACAAATAAACGTTCTAGTTAGCCGAGCAATACATATGCACAAATATATATGTACTAATATATAGTGGCTACGTGTAGCCAGTAAATAAATGTCCTATGAGCATGAAATTATCCTCGTGTGTGTATATATGGGTATCGTGACGTTTAATAGCAGGTTTAATTTATAACCCTTTGTCAATCCACTGCTGGATGAGTGCCTCCCTGCCGACGCCAGGTCGATACTGGGGGGGGTGGGGGTCGGGGTAGGACCATACTTCACCACGCTGGTCAATGCAGGTTTGGTGGAGGGTTTCACCCAAGCACTGGTTCACACCTCTCACTCGCCGCTCATGTTAGCCGTGGCTGGGCATCGAACTCAGGTTGGCTGGGTTCATCGCCCAGTACCCTAACCGCTGCGCCACCACTGCCCCCGACTGTGCACGAGCCGGTGCGCCTGACGCTTAAGACCTGAGCCGTAAATTCGGACGTGAGTTTGCACAACTCTGCATGTAAATATGTAAAACAGTTTCTAAACTTTTAAACGTTGCGGGAATTTCCTTCTCGTTATACGCACAAAGCATTTACGGAGCGAAAACTTTCTGGAACCCTTTTATGCGGAGGGCACACACGCAGAACGTGTGTCAAGACGTTAGCATTCGCATTTGCCGGTACGTGCCCAATATACTATTAGAATAAGTGGTGTGCTATTAAGACGAAGGAGGCTTGTTGCCCGAAACGTCGTTTATCATGTTTTTTTTTCATTCAGTTCTACACACACACACAGTGTGGTTGACGAATGTGTTGACAGTTGTATGTATTTTAACAAAATCTACACATTAATATTGCACGAAAATAATTGTGTGCGGTGTTGTTGCAGGCTACTGAAAAGGGTCCCCATTACGTTGGTGAAGTGCACTTGCCAATAACATCTAGGTTTTTTTCAAATTTGTAATCATTATTATTCATTGTGCTTGTGCGCCACTGCAAATTCAGCAGCAACAGCAGCAGCATCACCGCCAAATAATCTCATCGTTAAAATGTGTTTCTGCATGTGCCCTCGTGTCTGGGAAGTTATCGGCAATGCCCCGTATCATGTGTCGAGAGTGAAGTTGTATCTGTGTGTGCTTTTCATTCAGTCTCATTGTTAGGGGAAACTCACAGCAGCAACAGCAGCCGAAATATTCGAAGCCGCGGCAACCTTTGACCTAAACTTTTATATTAGGTTACTTTTTTTAATCTCCAAAAAGTTATAATACAACTTCGAGGTCCAGCGCATGTTTGGAACTCCACGGGAGAACCAACGTAGGAACAAAACAAAGGCCACACTCAAGAGTAACGTACCCTCACCCCTCTACACACACACACACCCCTCTACACACACCGCACACACACCCCTCTACACACACCCTCACCCCTCTACACACACCCTCACCCCTCTACACACCCCGCACACACAAACACACCCCTCTACACACACCCTCACCCCTCTACACACTCACACCCCTCTACACACCCGCACACACACACACCGTCACCCCTCTACACACAACGCGCGCACACACACACACACCCTCACCCCTCTACACACACACACCCCTCTACACACACCCTCACCCCTCTACACACACCGCACACACACACACCCTCACCCCTCTACACACAACGCGCGCACACACACACACACCCTCACCCCTCTACACACACACCCCTCTACACACACCCTCACCCCTCTACACACACCGCACACACACACCCCTCTACACACACCCTCACCCCTCTACACACCGCACACACACACACACACACACACACACACCCCTCTACACACACCCCTCTACACACACACCCCTCTACACACACACACCCCTCTACACACACCCTCACCCCTCTACACACACCGCACACACACACACCCCTCTACACACACCGCACACACACCTTCACCCCTCTACACACAACGCGCGCGCACACACCCCTCTACACACCCCTCTACACACCCCTCTACACACAACGCGCACACACACACCCTCACCCCTCTACACACCCTCACCCCTCTACACACACACACCCCTCTACACACACACACACCCTTCTACACACACACACACACCTTCACCCCTCTACACACAACGCACACACACACACCCCTCTACACACACACCCCTCTACACACACACACCCTTCTACACACACACACCCCTCTACACACCCCTCTACACACACACACACACCTTCACCCCTCTACACACACCGGTCGTGAATCCCCTGCGAGGTTGGAGAGACCTGGCCGAGGGGTCGACCCGACACCGGGGCCTGCACTGTACGGGGCGGTGGGGTTGTCGGAGACGGCTGCGCAATCTTGAGTTGTGCAGCAGCAGCATCATCATCAACAGCAGCATCATCAACAGCAGCATCATCAGCAGCAGCATCAGCAGCAGCATCAGCAGGATCATCATGAGCAGCATCAGCAGGATCATCATGAGCAGCATCAGCAACAGCAGCAGCAAGAGCAGCAGCATCAGCAGGATCATCATGAGCAGCAGCATCAGCAGCAACAGCAGCAGCATGAGCAGCAGCATCAGCAGGATCATCATGAGCAGCATCATCAGCAGCAACAGCAGCAGCATGAGCAGCATCAGCAGCAGCTTCGGGGGTTTTGCGACTTGTCGTGACATTTCCAACACAGTTCTTCAACAACATTGCCCGAACAGGAAAGGGTTTTTTTTCATAATAGCCGACGTTTCTGGCAATGGCCCTACTTCATCGCCACGAAGAAGCACCACGCCGCCTATTCCACACACCTAGAGTCTTCCCCCTTTCAGGACCGCGCTGTTGATGAATGAATGTGGGGCGGTGGTTGTTGTTGTTTTTAAAAGTTATTTGTTCCTATGCGCCGCAGCAGCATCATCACAACACTTGTCACGTTGAACTTTAAAATCACGCGCGACAGGGTTGGATGGTCAGGTTCCGTGAGAGCGGCCGACGTGAAATGTTACACACACCGACAGAGACGCGTTGGGAGACTCGGCGATGATGGTGGTGCTGGCCACCCCCCCCCCACCTCGTGTGCCGTGACGGCACTTAATAGGTGCTCGCTAACAGCACTTGGCACCAACATTCTGTTGAGGCTGTACGGGGGGAGGAGGGGATATTTGTCTTTTATCTTTGGTGGTGGTGATGGGGGTGGTGTTGGTAATAAACACAGCAGAACACTTCTACGCGAAATCCTGCAGTTAAACAATCTAATTAGGCAGCAATTTGTCATTATTTATTTCCAATTAATAAACAGCTCGAGGGAACTAACGCTGTTTCTAATAATTATAATAACATCGTAAACATGTAAATTCAGGATAATCTTAATGAGGTCCACTCTATAACTGAGGACGCGTCCATTAGGATGCAATAATTTAATCTCAACAATAAGCTATCATGTACACACGAGCTTCTATACATTTGAACAAATCAACGCTATAATACTCTACAGTGCACCAAATTACAAATAAACTTGTAAAGATTCCAGGAAACGCCCAACAAATGTCCTGACAATACAACCATTTGACAAGCAAGAGTCAAACGTTTACTTGTTACGTAACTTTGTCGTCTTAATTGTGTAAACCCACACCTTGAATTGATCGACAGCGCAATTTTTCGTATGGAACCATCCTTCATTACCCTATAATAATTATATATAACATAAAATAATTATACATATAATTATTATAACAACACCAGCCCAGATGTCTTGTGACCTCCCTCCCAATTAATTGACCCCTTAACATTGTTTTGTTTTCCCCTTTGCATGCCCATTTCTGTTTTCAATAAACCTTTAACTTTAACTAACCATATACACTCACCATATACACTAACCATATACACTAACACCAGTCGGTGTAAGGGAGAATTGTCCATACACCTTAAGTGTACACCGGCTGGTTAGTATAGATGGTTGGTGTATAGTAGATGTGGATTATGCCATATACACTGGGTTAGTGTATATGGTTAATATAGATGGTTAGTATAAGTGCATGAGGTCACACATCTATTATATTTTTGTACTGTTCGTTGTTGTAACATTCTCACCCGCCCCGACTGGACATCTGTCAAAAAGAGCTTTATAGCTCATCGGATTCCTCCAGTATAAATGAGGCTTCTGATATCTGGAGAATTAGTACATTGCCATCCGCAAGGTCCTATATGCCCACTCCTTCTCGACGGGCATTGTTCTTACAGAAGGGGGAAAACATTAAAATTCGCTTTGCCACGGCCACAAGCTTGCGGTGGACTCTTTTTGTAAGTTTGGTGGGTGTGGGAGTGAAACTACGAAACGTGTACACTGTGTAACGCCGCGGTGTTCCTTGTTGACGGGGTGTGTGTCGGGAGTCTCGTCAATGGCGAGCCAACGCAGCATCAGCACGGTTCGCGAAATAAGTTCAACACACCGCACATACAAACACACACACACGCTGGCCGCTGCTCTAAGCCTAACGCGGGACTAACGTTCTCGCAACCCGACGGACGTCTATCCGTCCGTGTTAATGACGGCGGCAGAATGAGTTCACGGAAGTCGCGTACGGCGTCACTGCCAACAGTTTGTGTTTTGAATACGACGGTTCGCGCGCACACACTCCGTCACCTGTATAGCACTATATTTATATAACGCGAGCTTCTTAAAGTATTCACACATACATACATTGACGCGCACTCCTTGATCTCGTTCGTCGGTTGCTATTCAGTTCGAGGGTTAAGAGCTGGGCCTAATGACTCTCGGATGCAATTTCAACCGCGGGGAGAATTTTGAAATGCCGCAATGCATGGACAAGTAGGTGAATCGTATACTACCGTAACATTATTATGAGCCGTGTGCGATGAGGAAGGGTCATCGCCCGAAACGTCGACTATTTTATTCTTTTCTTGCTAAGGCCACGGTGTTATTGACCATTTTGTTGTGAATGCGATGCACGAGGTGAAGTATGATTTAACAACTGGGGTGCGCGTGGTATCTTTACGATGTTCCATAACGTTTAAACGTAGGCTCATTAAATACAATTTTTACCATTCCGTATCCAACTCATCATAAGTTACGCTCTTGCAAACTCACTATTGCAAAAAAAGCAACGTAATTGCATGTGCGGCTGACATTCAGAAAGTTTTAATGACATTTGTTCGTTTTTAAATGTCCTTTAAAACTATCAACGTATTTGCTGTATACGGTACTGTATTCTCGTTAATGCGGGACAAGCGAGACTCCAGACTAAACTATTTAGTCGATTCCAAATGCTAGGTCTAGGAGCTCGTGAATATCGTTGTTAGAACGATATTCACGAGCGCACGCAACTTGCTAGGTCTAGGAGCACACGATTCGCAAATCCATTAGCTACATATTATGTGTATATATACTATATTATATACTATGTTAATATATTATATTAGTATATATATACACATTTGCTGAGCACAGGCCACACATTCTAAAAACGTCACGCGGCCAGCAACAAACACCACTATTCAAGTTGTAACATATATATACGCCTTCAATACGTTTTCTTGAAGTGAGCAAGATTATAATAATTTGGGGGGCAGGGAGAGGAGCCGGGGGGGGGGCAAAAAGAGGCGACGGGGAGAGGAGCAGCAGAATGGGAGACGAGTGGATTTGACCTCATGTGGTGCTTGAACAACACCGCGTGGATGATGATGAGAGACGCAGAGAGAGAGAGAAGTCAGCTGGGCGGCTGGGGAACACGAGAAGACGTGGGCACACGAGAGTCTCGAGAATTTACGAGCTGCCTGGCTGCCAGAAGAGACGCGGGGGGCCGAGTGCGGTCAGCGTCGCGCATACCTCCAGCCTGGCGTGATGGTGCTGGCGGCGGTGGTGGTGGTGGTGGTGGAGCTTCCTCCAGGCGCATTGGTCGGCACCACCGTCTTGTCAAGACGCAGTAACTTGGCGAGTTGATGATGATGATGCTGCTGCTGCTATTGAACTCGTTCGTTGCCTCTGCCCATGCGAGGCGGTGGCGCCTTCTGCACAAATTCGCATTCACTCGCCCGCTCCCCCCGTAATAGGCCCAGGCGAGATGGATCAGAGCCATCGTGGTATTTTTTGTTTAAATTTGTTTTCTTCCACTGCACACGATGGCCCTAGTGCCGCTACACGCATGCGTGCGTGTGTCTGCACGCATCCAAATATACTATATGTGTGAGTGTATATATTTTTAAATGGACTCATTTGCTTCGGCAGATCTTTCCATTCTTGGATGATGGAGATCCGAAAACACGCGTGCGTGTATACACACACACACGCGTGTGTGTGTACACGCACACGTGCGTATGTGTACACACACACGCGTCAGCTCACTCCGCAGAGCACGGCGGGCCTAACGACAAAACAAGAGGAACGCAAATCGATTCGTACAAAACGCAAACACATGCGCATCGCTGTGGGTTTGGATCTGACGCCGCTGGGAGGCTATGTCCGCACACACAGATAGAGAGAGGAGGGGGGGCCCGTGACCGATTCGCTTCGACGAGAACACATCGCTCTCTCGCTGCGACTGCATTGTCGCTTTGCCTCCGCGTCCGCACGGAGCGTCTCTCTCCTCGCTCACTGGACCTCGCTTCTCCCGGCCTCGCGCGCCATCTCCGCTCGTGGATGCCCCCCCCCTCACCCCCCTCCTTCCCCCGTCACCATCCCTCCTTCCCCCACCCCCCCCCCTCGATGTGCGCGCACGCAGCGTCAACACGACCTGGCCCCGGGTCGTCGTGGTCGCCACAGACCCAAGACAAACACAACCCCCGCGGGGGTGGGGCGAGCGGGCAAAAGACGCCGTGGTGTGCGTCTTTGTGATGATGACCAAGACGTGGCGGGAGGAGGAGGGGGGGGTCACCCCTCCAACCCCAGCGGGGCGCTTGTTGGATGAGCAGGAAGGTGGACTTGCTGGGTGGTAGGTAGGGTGCTGGGCCGAGTATGGGAGGGAGGGATGGATTAGGATAGCAGAGTGCGTTGGGCTGTGGTTGGTTGCAGTGGTTGGTGGGGGTGGTCGGTGGGGCGGAGTGGGATGAATGCGTCTCATCTGGACGCGATCAGCTTTTGTGGATTGCCGTGTTTGCGTAGCGGCGGGGATTTTAATCGGCGTTTGCGCTGCTTTAATTATCCAGCAGCGCTCCCTCCCCCGTGCTCAATACACACCCCAGTCCCAATACACACACCTAGTCCCAATACACACGCGAGTCCCGGTGACCCGGGTCAGACAAACACCGAGTCCCTGGCTCCGCCCGGGGAAATCTGTTCAGCTGCTGACGACGAGCAGAATCTGCAAGAGAAGGCTGCAAGAGAACAACATTTAAAAAATAGTTTTTTGTATTGCGATTTAAAATGCGAATCTACGTTCCGCAGCCAAGCGCAGCTGCCTCAGCACGAAGACGCGCGCCGCTATACGTGGTTCACATACAGAGGAGAACACTTTGTGTTCAATGTTTAACAACATTCGTATCGATGCGAGTGAGAGGTTAGCGCGTCGAGCGCATTTGCTCTCCGCGTGTTGCGCGCGCGCGCTTGTTCGAAAGCGGCCTCGTTCGTACCCCCGGACGAGAAGAAACGGCAGGCACCCCGCGGGGTGATGGGGAGTTCTCTGGGGAGTGCATCTGGTGTAAGGGTCAGCGATACCTGTCGAGTATTTGTCAAAGCCCGATTCCGCTGAAGATACCCAGAAAGTCTTGCCTTGCGTTTATTTGAGTGAACACAGTTTTGAAAGTCTCGCAGAAACTTTGTTAAGCTGCCTTCATTTGACCACGTCGCTACTCGCTGATTTTTTTAAAAAATTGTCGCGATTTTAAGAATTTAGTGTTTTACCTTCACGTTGCAACGACTGTAGCGGTCACTAGTGTCTGCAAGGGGTCACGTGGACCCGTTGCAACGACGAACAATAATCGACTTTTACTCGTGCGATTCGATCCGTTAACTTAATCGATACGGATTAATGAATCTCCACGCGTCTCCGTGACACGTATGGGAAGCGGTGGTGGCAGTGGTTAGCGCACTGCGCGCTACGAACCCGGTGACCCGAGTTTAATTCCTGCTCATGACCAACATCAGTGACGAACATCCTGGGCCTCCCCTAGGTCGACTCAGCATTACACGAGTACCTGGTGCAGTGTGTAAATATCGCCACTAGAGAGACAAAGGCGGTCGGGCGTGTGGTTCTGGCAACCCACCACCCCTTCATGAGCCGTGCCAACTCTTCATAGGTGCTCGCGAACAGCACTTGCCATAATATTTTGTTGAAGGCTATACGGGGGAATTCTGTCTTTGCCTTGTATATAGAGTCGAGTAAAGGCGAATGGTCAGTGGTTGTAATCACCGACGAAACGTCACGGGTACTCGAATTGTAAATGTTGTGGGTTTACTCTCCAACGTACTTACTAATTGACACGGCTTGTTTACGTGACAAACCTTACTAATTGGTTATTTCGGGTGGTGGCGGATTTAACGACACATTTAAGCGATATAACCCCCCTCCCCCCAAAAAAACCCCTTTATAATTATGTTAAACCTCACAACGTGTGACACAGTTGTTCACAGACGTCTGTGCGCAGTCATAGCTGCTGGCGATCCAGCACGAGCGCGCGTGGTGTACGTCACACGGCTCCACGTGCCCGTGAAATGAATTCTCGCTCTTGTCGCTCTCTCTCTCTCGAAGACGCGAGCAGACAACAAACCCGCCGATCTGCCAGATACCACGGCTACATCGCGCGCCCACGATGATGACGACGACGGCGATTCCGCGGTCGTCGTGGTGGCGACTTCACCACGCGGAACCCAACGGAAGTCGGTCGGCCAAAGCACCACCTCTGACCCTCCATTTCACACTGAGCCGGGAGACCCGAGGGCTCACATTATAGTGGATCATGAGGAGCATTTATGAGCAGCGCGACTCGGAGCGAAAGACTCGCGGCCACTAGGTCATTTGCCTGCTCCCCCCTCCCTCCATCCCCCCCCCCTCCCACAAACATCCACCAACCCCCCCACCCCATCATCCCACTTGTCTCCACTCATCCCGTGACCCACGTTGTTTGTGCTTCGAATTGTCCAACAGTGTATACACTACCGCCACGAATGTGCTAGTGCACAGAGACCTTGTGGTGGGACTCTATACGTACACTATGTATTATGCACGCATGCAAGCTGCAATGTACGTATACCGGTATACGTGCGCGATATAGCTTGTGTATGCGCAGTGTGTATGTATTCATGCACGTGTATGTGCGTGGAGCATTTAAGGCAATGGTTGTAGGGTAACCTATTATTAGGTACGCGGGGGAGTAGTGGCGCTGTGGAAAGCGCATTTCTTGATGGACTCGGTCACCTGAAATTGATTCCCGAAAAGTTTTTTTTTTACATGGACGTTGAACTTCTTTCGCACCATACTATCTGAACACATGGCACTAAAACCAGCGTGGTGAAGTACGGCCAAACAACAACCACGACATCTGTTTGCTTGTTTATAATCTCTTGTTTTAGAATATTTGGCTGCAATACATTTCCACATGATAAAGCCACTGCGTTTAGCTATCATATGTGGCAAGGTCGCTTCTGAAAAAGAGCTGTATATAACTTATACATAGTTTATAATAAAAAAAAATATATTTGCTTTATTGCTGTACGTTATTTTCGAGTTCTCACCCGGTTCAACAAAATCGGCAACTTGATCATTATAACATTGACATAGAACGCTATTACGCTCGCATCTATGCACGTTGTGAACCACGGCAGCATCTTCACAGCACGCGACATGCGATATCGCTCAGCACGAGCACTTCAATATAAACATCCTCTCGCGTCTGTATCGGCTGATATTCTCTCTCGTCTCCCCAGCTGCGCCCGTTCTCTTTAATTACGTTTTCCCTATTAAACAAACAAAAACATTCGGGCGGGGAGGTGGGTGGGGGATGGATGATTGAACGTGCGACACAATAACTCCCCCCCCCCTCGTATTAAACAACGCACGGTCTCAAATTCAATTCCACACAAATCGTAGATAAAGATGTGAACGTCAACAACAGCACCTAGATAGATTGAAAACTCTATTCTTTAAAACTGCTTTTTGTGTTTAGTTTGTTTCCCCCTCCCCCGTCCCGGACCTCCGATTAGCACGGCTGGTTACGTAGGGTGTGAAAGAAGTTCAACATACATAACAGACAGACAGACAGCCTTACACCGGACCACGCAGCTGATCGCGTGCGTCCGCGCGCGCACGACACGGAGAGAGAAACGGACGTCAGCTAACAAAATACGCTTCCGTGAAATGATCACGGCAGCCACGGCAGCCAGCCAGCCAGCAGCAGCATAAAACATTTACGGGCTAAGTGCACGTTAGTCTCGGAATACTCCGTCGCAACATCCCCGCACACACACCCTATACTTATGCCGCTTTGGGGTAATGCCCCCCGTTAATGCCCCTTTCAGCCCGGTGTAGGTGGTTACGCGCACACACACGTGGGTCTCGCTGGCCCCGCTTCGAGTGCATGTATATTTAAAGACACAGGGGGTATTTATTTTAATTATAACTCGCACTCACGCCGCCTCTCCCTCTCTATCCCCCCCACTAATAAAGACAAAGATCTCCCACGTAGCCTACGTAATACTACTGGGGCAAGTGCTGTAAAGCGAGCACCCTCCTATGAAGGCCGGAGCGGCACACGACGTGGTGTGCTGCCGTCAGCTTCCACGCCCGGTCGCCTTTGTTTCCCCCGTTACCGGTGGCCACGCAGCCGTCAACGGGCACTCGTTTAAAGCCGAGTCGAGCCAGGTGGGCGGTCCGCGATCGGTTCAAATGTCTTCTTCTCGCCACCGGCGGCATTCGCTGTGTCCGGGAATAGAACTCGGGTCAAGGGGTGCGTGGTGCAGTGCGCTAACCAGAACGCCACCGTCAACCATCCGCACGCACGCAGATGCACAAAGACAAAGATCCCCCGCATTGCCTTAACACAGATTGTAGTGGGCAAGTGCAATCAGCGAGCACCTATGAAGGCCTACACGGCACAGTAAGGGGTGGGTGGCCAGCACCACGCCCGACCGCCTTTGTCTCCCCTAGTGGCGATGTTTACCCACCAGCACTAGGTACTAATTTTAGGCCGACTCGAACCAGGGTTCAGATGTTTTCCACCGTTACTGGTCATGAGCAGAAATCGAACTAGGATCGCAGCGCGCTAACCACTGCGCCACCGCTCCCCACACACGCACATACCACACATAGTCCCCGTTGAGCCTTGTTTATCTTAGGGACTGTACATTTTAGTCAGCCCCTATTGCGACTGTAGTGTCGCCAAAACCACGCACGGCCGCTTTTGTTTCACCAGTTCTGAAGTACTATATTTGTTCAGGCTGAGTCTACCTAAGGGAGGGCCTGCGCAGGTTCGGGTGCGACTTGCCACTGCGGTTGTAGGACATGACTAGGGATCGAACCCTAGTTGACAGTGAACGAACCACTAAAAACACACGTAATATAGGTAGTGTATACTTACAAATACAAACATACACCCATAAACTCACAAGACGGGCAAAATACACCCAAGCATATCCATAAAGATACACTCACTCCTACGCAAAGACACAACCCACCCACCCCTGTAAAGCCTCAATAGACTGTTGGGTCTTC